TACTAGAATCTCACACAACAACTGGCTTTTCATAATTCTTTCCTACTTCTCTCAAAATCACACTAGCAAATATGCTGATAGCCAATATACAGTGTGACATGGCCTCTGACAGCAATGTTAGCACTTCTGAACTAAAAAAGAGAAGGAATGCTATTGATCCTAAGTGTTCTGCTTTTGGTGTTCAATGTTATACCAACTTCCTAAAAACTTTTCTTCATACAAACGTTTTCTTATAATAAACTTTTATTTTTGAATAGATATTTTCTAACGCAATTAATTGCACAGTGCCAGACACTGTCTCTGGTTGTGGGTGATGGAGTGGTCTGGGGTCCTGGGTGAGGAGGTGGGGACTGCACTACTACGACTGGGCAGGAATCTATTTTCTTACATCGATAAACATTTATATTGGGTCATTTTATAGATGGTGGTGGTGGAAGCTGCACCTATCCCTCCAGCTGGGAAATACCACAAGCTTTCTGAGAAGGGGAAAAGACTCACTTTTAAAAATCCTAATATTTAAAATCAAGAGCTAAATCACCAATGGTAAACCATGTAACTGTGTGACTTAAAAGTTCAAGCATTCAATTGAAAAAAAGAAAACTGCCATGAAATCACAGAGCTACACTTACACTGTGGGTGTCTTGGGGACATCACTTCAACTTTCCTGGACTGATTTCTTCCCTAAGAAGTCAGAGCGGTTAGGAATCTTAAAGAAATGATGGTAACAATATTAGCCTGACATTTATCAATAGCTTAGCATGCAGACCTCACTGCAAGCACAATCCATGATTTAGGTGAATTAGGAGAAGATGATCTGGTGATAGAGCCTGTTTAGCTAGAAAAAGTTGTGTTTTCCTTTGGGTGACCGCAGCTCCAGGCCCAGGGCTTCGCTGAGTCCTACTCACAGCTTCTGGGCATGCACCTCTGTCCAGGACACACTCTGTGCAACTGTGTTCAACAGTTTAACCGTCCCATGACCCTGTGATTTAAGTGCTTTCATTCCATTTTGAAAATGAGGTGGGGGGCAGGGCGTGGAAAAGTTAAATAATTTACCAGATTCACACAGCTCGTAGGTGGCAAAATCTGGGTTCAGAACTAAGCCGCCTGGCTCTACAGTTCATGCATTTACCCGGCTTTCTATGCTGCTCCATGGAGGTCTCAAAGGTAATATTTTTCTAAGCTGAAAGATTTCAGGAACAAATGGATTTATGAATAGATACATTATTCATGTTTTCTAAGTTATGATTATTAGAACTAATTAGTTGTTGATTACTAGGTGGCTAATATAACAAGTGGTTGTACACTGAGAGGTGGTTTCTAAGTGTATTGTAGTTTTTATATTACTGAACATGTATATATGGAATTAATATTGAAACATCCATGTCAGATTTTCACACCATATACGTCCTTAATGATTTTTTTATATAGCCCTTTTATTTCCCAAATAAAATATATAAAGCCCAAACTAAATTTTTCCCAATTACAAGGAGTAAAACTTTAGTCAAGCTGTCAGGCCCTGTTAGATCAGGGATAATATGGAACAACAGTAAAAAGAAACATTCTTGCCTGGCAGTTGTGTCCTATCATCCACCTGTATGCAAAGTAATTAGCAGAGAAGGCAGTTGTAAAAAGTGGAAATTGTTAGTGAGACGTGGGCTGGATTTCCACTCTGGATTCCTTTCTGTAATACTGCCTCTTTTCTAATGTTAATGTAACAGATACTGTCATCCTCCGGAAAAAGAGTTATAAAACAAAACCATAAAATGATTAAAAACAGCAGTTAAGGAGTAATGGCTATGACAAACGTATAGATTGTTAAATGACTAGTAATAAGATTAATTTGTTCATTTTTGCCCAAGAGATACTTAAAGTAATTGCATCTTTGAAAATTGCACTGTCATCACTATATGCTTTTGATGATGTCATGGAATAGTACATAGGCTGGGATATGCTCACCAGATGGTTTTTTTTTTTATATCCCATGCTATAATATTAACCTATACACTATTGGCCACCACCCATGAAATTGCAATACTGTGTGGCATCTGCATGATAAAAAAGATGTGTCTCCTAAATGTCAATTTTAATAAGTTCAAATTAATCTATATTAAAGTGTTTTGCAGAAATTTGGAGGTACCATCAAATACACTTAGTGCCATTTTACAGCATAGACAGGTTGGGTATCACTGCTGTGTATGCTAAAAAGAAAAGTATAAAGTAAAACTAAAGAAACCATCACTTTAAAATATTTCAAATGTTTAAGAATATCCACATGCTCTTCAAACATATCCCTCCATCTTAGAGACCTGAATTTTGAACTTGTCTTTTTCACATGTATTCATATCCCATATGTAAAGTTCTCTTATCTTTGTCCTAAAGAATATGTCATTACCTACCACTTTAGAAAATTAAGGGATTGCAGCCCCTTAGATATTCTCTACACATCTGTGTTCAGAAACAAATCAGTACTAGTCTGAAATCCAAAAAGTAGATCCCAACTTAGAATAACAAATTCACTAAATACCCTTCATTATACTCATAGTTATAAATTTTCATTGCATATTCATGCATCAAAATAGCATGGCCCACTAACTTCTAAAATACTTTGCTATTAATGCTAGATGCTACTAATCTTACAGAGTGGATTATGATAATAAAATTGTTTAAAATGTTATATCTTATTAAAATGTTTTAACTTTATTTATAAATAATGCCCTCAACTTTAAAAAGGGTTATACACTTAAAATAATTGGAAAGTACCTTATTGAATATTCTCCAGTACTAAAATGGAAAGAATTTCTATAAAGGATTATTTTGTGAGTTCCTGTCTTTTCCTGAAGCAATTATTTTGGCATACTGCACAGAGATTATAAATAGTGGTACTGATATTTATTAAATGGAAAATATATCCAACATATTGTAAGGATGTTCCTAGGAATGGCCCCAAAGAGCTTGTTTCAGCTGACAGACACTTGAGTGGATTTTGGTAAATGGTTCCTGTGGCATGAAAAAGTTAGTGTGCTGTTCAAAACTTAACCTTGACCAGGCAGACATTACAAAATGTTAGGCCATTATAGCTAAAATACAGATTTTAAAATATTAGTTTTCAAAGGAGAAAATCACAAGTCAATTTATAATAGCTAAATTTCAATGTGAATTTTTATGGCCAGAGACAATTAAATTATTCATAAGAAAACATAACTAAGCAATTATTTTAATATCAAGTACACATCATCATTTATAATAAATCAAATAGATCATGTTCAGTTAATTAGAAATTTTCCAGATGTCACCTACAAGATGCCTATAAAGACTTAATAGGAAACACAGCAAAAGGTTTGCAACTATGCAATAAAAAAACACAAAAACCTTTATCAACAATTTTTTTAAGTTCTGCTTTTATATGTATGTTTTTTTCTCCCTTGTAAAGTTTAAGGCACATAAACAAGAATATGCCAAAGGATAATATTTAAGTAAATGAAGTGTTTTTGTATTTAAAAAACATCTTAGGCTCATAGCCTGGTCTCTGCTGTTCATTCATTTGCTAGAATAATTTGATAAACACAAAAGCAGTAACGTATATAATTCACACATTTAGATGGGTCTACATTGTGAACTTTTTCTTCAAAACTACGTTAGGAAGGGATCTAATGTTTTGGCTTCTGTCACAACCTTAGTTGATACTACAAAGTTTTCATTTTACAGAGAAATTTTCTCCAAAAATAAAATAGGCACCATACCTTTCCAAATGACATTTCACAATGTATTTAATTCCAATGTCTCTAGAGGGCCAAAAAATTAGTGGAGAGTGATTGATAACCAGACATTTAAGAATTATATTCTGAAGATGTGGAACATCACATACTGCTCAGGGGAAGATCAGTAACAATTAAGCTTAATATGCCAGTTTCTAAAGGTCTGGCTTCACTACTGATTAAGGTGCTGTCATCTGTCACCTATCTCTACCTCTTGTGACACCTCTGATACAGATGCACAGAATGTGAAAAGGAATTCATGCTTTTTAAATTTAAAAACTTTCCACACTTCAAAACACATGCCCACATACATTCAACACATATGTACTACATTCAACACATATGTACTGCAGTACTTTAATTAGCATTGCAAGAGATCTCAATAAGGGTAGCTATGTTCAATTAAGACCCTGTTCGTTCATCCTAGGCTTTCAAGAATCTTTGATTCTAAAGAGATCATACCCAAAAATAATGGAGGGTGAATGCGATAGAAATTGCTCAACATTAGGATAGTTAAAGTCCAAGGAAATGAAAAAGCATAGTGAACGCTGGGAAACTTGCCAATTCTGATCCATTTTCCTGGCGTTGACTCAACCCTAATTGAACACCTACTGAGTGCACTAACCTTTAGTCATCACCATGTACACTACAGCCCCCCTCGAGCTGACCTCATTTCCTGAGAAGTCCCCAACCTGGAATTAGTTATGCAAATGTCCACGCACAATGCCCCCTCTCCCCGTTCTTTATCAACCCTCCTGAGAACAAAGGCTGCGTGCCCAGGGGTAGGTGAGCCACCCACAGAAGACAGGTCTGGTAAAAACAGCGGGGATTTAAGCCGAGCCAGGCCATCAGGGGGTGGCATTTCTGCAGCGGCTTTTCTCTCTTTGGGTTCCTTCTGCCTCCGCGGAACCGCAGCGCTTTTGCAGGTGCTGACCCTGCCCTGTGGCCAACTCTTTTACAAAGTGGAACTCACTCCTGGAAAACACTGTACTGCTCATGATGAAGTAGAGCTCGCTTCGCAGTTAGTGAACTTCAGGGGAAAAAAAAGTAAACCCTTCTGGTTGTGTGTTTTCGGGGGCCGGGGGGAAAGCGGAACACAATCCATTTCCTCCCGCCTCCTCCGCGCCCCTTACCGCGCGCAGGTTTCCAAGCCCCCGAAGAGCCTCCAGCCCCGAACCGGCGCCCCGCCCTAGGCCGCGCGCCCCACGCTCCCCTCTCCGGGCCGGTCCGCCGGCCCCGACTCACCGCTGACCACCCGGCGGCTGAGGACCCCGTGGCCGCAGAGTAGCGCGGCGCCCAGCAGCAGCAAGACCACGCGGCTCATCGCGGCACGGCGACAGCAGCGGGTGTTGCGTGGAGCGAAAGCGACCTCTGCCCGCCGCACAGCCGGGGCTCTAACCCCTGGGCCTCCCCGCCGGGCGCTACTCCCGCCGCCCGAGCCCGGCCGCTCGGCCCCCTGCGCGCATCGCCTCGGGCCGGGCCTGGAGCCGGATGCGCTCGTGCCGGGTGCTATTCAACTCTGGCGGAGTGCTGGGCTAGAGCGCACAGCCCGGCGGGTGCGCGGTGAGGCAGCGGACGTTGGGGGGTGTCGTGTTTGTCCCCGAGGGGAGGCCGGAGCCGCGACTGGACCCCACCGGCCCCCTCCGCGCCTCTCGTTGGCCTCTGGCTGGTGAAAGGCTCAGCCCGTGCCTGGGTCGCGGCGCTCTCAGCTGCAGCAGCTCTGCGCTGGAGGCGCCGGCTTATATATCCACTCCTCGAGATTCCAGCCCCTCGCTAGTAATAATTTTTAACTACTTTGTCTCTCCTCCCATGCGGAGCATCCTGGCCCCTCCCCTAAAAAACTGGAGCCACTTTGAAAACAGTCCAGTCAGCAGCCCCACCTCCTCCCCTCCGCTCCTCCCGGTCCCCTCTTTCCATTCGCCAACAGACCCGATACTCAATTGTGTAAAACATGGCAGCTTTGCTATTGAACTCTGGCAAAGTTGGATCCGTTTGGTTTTCTCAAAGATTAATGTACACGGAGATGCCAAGCTGTGAAGCCTTTCTTTTTTGTGCTAAATTGCTTGATCATATGTATTGCTAGATGCAGGGCACTAAGCCACTATTTAAAATGAATTGGCGAAGTGGGAGCCAGAACCTGCTCGGTGAATTATGTAATGTGGCAGGTTTTCCCCACCTAGCTTCTGCAAATAGATTACTTCCAAGCAGTTTGTTTGACAAAATTGCCACAAGAGCAAACTGAAGAGAATATTTGAGGCAGTTTTCCCAACTGATTTAAATTTCAGAATTTGCAGCTCCACAGAAAACCATCAACACGAAATAAATATTCTGAATACTTGGGAATTTCCCAGATATAAATGTATTTCTTTGTGATCATCTATCAGTTGCCTATGGTTTGCTTCAGAAGTAAATCATTTTAAAACCTACAGAAGCACTTTTCCATAACCTGACTTGGCCTCTATTATAGCAGTCCACCAAAGGATGCTAGAGTTTCCTGTACTATTGGAAAGAAGTTCATGAGTTTCATCTACAACTAGTCTATGATAGGAAACCTGAGGATGCTCTCAGCGTGAGCTTCAGTAGAATTGGTGTTTTGCATTATGTTGCTTTAAATGCACCAGGATGTTTTAAATAAAATCCGCTGGTTTTAATGGATGGTATGTTTTCCTAGAACACCTCCCTGGCTTGGTTTTCATAAGCCACAAGTGCACTGTAAACATTTGATGGATTGCTTTCTTGGGAAAAGTCGAAATCCTGCTACAGTAAGGACAAGTCTTGCAGAAAAAGAAACTCGGCACTTGGAAAAGACTGTGAAGATTATTAAACCCACTGTCCTCAAGAATTCCAAAATGATTATAATGATATCTATCACTGTTTTTCCTTGTATAACCATTAAAAATATTAACTTACTGGAGGGTCATAGGCAATTAATATAACTTATAGAGGGTGTGAATTTTGAGTTTCACCACCAACCAAATATTCAAAAGAAATAGGCACTGCTGGGATTCTGAAAGGAAAATGGAAAACACAAATCCTCAAAGCATGGAGGTGTGTATAGCTCAGTGCTGTAAACCATGTCACAGTGTCACTGGCTGTGGCGTGGTCAGAGAGATAGTCCAGGGTCACACAGCCCAATGTGGAGAAAGAAATGGAATAATGACTGTGTGTATACATGCTGTAGTAGAAGGGAAATTTGCCATGTTAGCATAGAGGAATGAGGAATTAGGCAAAGTCTCCAGCAGCCGTCCAAGTAGAAGGTGATAATCCTCAGTGGTGGATGATCTCAATGATTCCAGTGCCTGCCGAACTAGAATTATGAATGCGAGTTCTCTCTCCTTTCATGCCATGCTCTTCCCAGATACTCCTACGACCCAGGAGTATCACAGAGTTCCCTGTTTGGGAAAGGATACCAGTGGATTACAGTATACACACTGATGTAATTTCCTGTATCAACACCCCCCTAAGTGTCCCAAATGGCTCTGGGGCCTAAAGTGGCAGCAAGTCCTTGAAGTCATTATTGGCAGGGGGAAGCAAGGTTTTAGTACTTCAGGAAATTAAAATTATAGTAATAACTGTCTCTCCAGTATGGTTGCACACACTTCCTAAATACAGTTTATTATCTTTAGGCTGGGACTATATCAGCTCAGGGAGGCCATGCCCATTAACTAGAGCTACTGGGCAGTCTTTCTAGTAGCTACATGACTCATCAGGACAACAAATTATTAAGGACTCTTTTTAGATAGGATGTTTTTAAGGGGACTGGCTGATAAGACAGCTTTTTGGTTTCTCCACAGGAAAACATCTGGATGGACCATCATTAAATTCAGAGAGCACGTTTTGGGCAATTGTAAATATAGAACATGTGTGGTACTTGATACTCTCTTTGGAAAGCATGGATGGATGTCTCCCAAGTCATTTTCATACACCATAGTAGGAGACACAAATTAAAAATTTTCAACAAAATTCCATTTAAAAAATATAAAGTTTGGGGGAGTTAAAGGGAAAGCAACAAATATAATTTTTTTAACAAATCACCTTCATTGTTTTTCCCTGTGGATATCCATATCCATAAAGTATCATACCAGACAAGTGACTTTCTTATAGCAAACATATTTTAGCTACAGAAGTTTAAGAACTGTTTTTGGATCAGTCAGGAGGTAAGACCTCCCTCAAGAGCAACCCAGAGAACCTGGGGTTAATGAGCAATATTTGCACATGTGTAGAGCTGAACCTCTAGATTCCTTGAGGCCAAGACATGACAAGACTGTGACTGGCAATCAGGAGACAGGTCTTCCACAGGTTAAGATTCTCTGTCCAGTTTAAAAATGAAAAATTAAATGAAAACTTCAAACTGATTAAGCTAAGAAGTTATAGATTCAACCCCCTTAAATGTATCTGTAAAAGCCCCAAAATAGAAAGGTGATCTCAATGAGAGTGACCCCAAAGAAATCTCAGACATGAGTCAACCACTGAGTCTCTAGAAGCTCATAAATATCAATTGGACAACAACATTTGGAATCCAAAGTTTTGAAAAATGACATCAGGTTGTTAGTAGTACACTATGGAATCTGACTGTCCCAAATATATAACTTATGGCGTCACCCTCCCCTTTCCCTTCCAAATGACTGTAATTCCCCATGAGCATCTGTTTCTTATGTCCATTAATAAGCCTTAAGGGCAGACAGTCTGAATTCCAGGCACTGGTTTGCATTCAGTGGCTTCTTACTGGCCAACTCTGTCTCCAGTGGTTTTAGCATCAGTCACAGCAGGGTTCATTCACAGGTGTTTCAGAGCAGAAGGTGGCAAATATGGTAGTCTTCACCAGTTCAGGCTGCTATAACAAAGTACCATACAATGGGTGGCTTGTAAACAACAGAAAATTGTTTCTCACAGTTCTCAAGGCTGGAAGTTACAGATCAGGGTACCAGTGCGGGTGGGTTCTAGTGAGAGCAGTCTTCAGGGTTGCAAACTATCAACTTCTGGTAAGATCCTCCTATGATGGAAAGAGAGCTAAGGAGCTCTCTGAGATCTCTTGAATAAGGGCACTAATCCCATTCATGAGGTCTCCATTGTCATAACCTAATCACCTCCCAAAGGCCCACCTCCTAATACCATCACATTGCAGGTTAGGATTTCAGCATAAGAATTTGGGGAGAGAATAGAAACATTCAGTCCATTGCAAAGGTCCTCAAAGGGAATTTGTCACAATTTTTTTAATTATTATAAATTTATATTAATATACCTCAAATATTATTGGAATCTACTATTAACCATTTATTCCATCATACTATTTAATGAATAAATATTCATTTATAGTGCTCAGGATAACCACTGTCTGATTCTCCTGAGCACTATAAATAGTACTACCAAGGCATAATAAAATAAATATTTGAAAGTGAAAAAAATAAAACTATTGCAATATAAACCTTTCAGTAGTAGACAGAAACAGGTTTTTTTTTTTATTTTGGTAACATTAATCTACAATTACATGAGGAACATAATGTTTACTAGACTCCCCCCTTCACCAAGTCCTCCCCCACAACCTCATTACAGTCACTGTCCATCAGCATAGTAAGATGCTGTAGAATCACTACTTGTCTTCTCTGTGTTGCACAGCCCTCCAAGTGCCTTCCCCCACATTGTACATGCTAATTGTAATGCTCCCTTTCTTCCCCCCACATCCCCTTATGCCTCCCTTCCCACCCATCCTTCCCAGTCCCTTTCCCTTTGGTAACTGTTAGTCCATTCTTGGGTTCTGTGATTCTGCTGCTGTTTTGTTCCTTCAGTTTTTCTTTGTTCTTGTACTCCACATATGAGTGAAATCATTTCGTACTTGTCTTACTACACCTGGCTTATTTCACTGAGCATAATACCCTCTAGCTCCATCCATGTTGTTGCAAATGGTAGGATTTGTTTTCTTCTTATGACTGAATAATATTCCATTGTATATATCTACCACATCTTATTTATCCATTCATCTACTGATGGGCACTTAGGTTGCTTCCATTTCTTGGCTACTGTAAATAGTGCTGCAATAAACATAGGGGTGCATCTGTCTTTTTAAACTGGGCTGCTGCACTCTTAGGGTAAATTCTGAGAAGTGGAATTCCTGGGTCAAATGGAATTTCTATTTTGAGCTTTTTCTGGAACCTCCATACTGCTTTCCACAATGGTTGAACTAATTTACATTCCCTCCAGCAGTGTAGGAGGGTTCCCCTTTTTCCACAACCTCGCCAACATTTGTTGTTGTTTGTCTTTTAGATGGTGGCGATCCTTACTGGTGTGTGGTGATATCTCATTGTGGTTTTAATTTGCATTTCTCTCATGACTAGCAATGTAGAGCATCTTTTCATGTGTCTGTTGGCCATCTGAATTTCTTCTTTGGAGAACTGTCTATTCTGCTCCTCAGCCCATTTTTTAATTGGATTATTTGTTTTTTGTTTGTTGAGGTGTGTGAGCTCTTTACATATTTTGGATGTCAACCCTTTATTGGATCTGTCATTTATGAATATATTCTCTGACACTGTAGGATGCCTTTTTGTTCTATTGATGGTGTCCTTTGCTGTACAGCAGCTTTTTAGTTTGATATAGTCCGACTTGTTCATTTTTGCTTTTGTTTCCCTTGCCTGGGGAGATATGTTTATGAAGAAGTCACTCATGTTTTATCCAAGAGATTTTTGCTTATTTTTTTTCCCAAGAGTTTTATGGTTTCATGACTTACATTCAGGTCTTTGATCCATTTCGAATTTACCTTTGTGTATGGGGTTAGACAATGATCCAGTTTCATTGTTTTACATGTAG